AATAAATGTATACCCCGGTATAAATCCAAAATAATTATGAGAAATCTTTGTATCATATCTTAATCTATGTTCAATTACCCTCTCCCATAATTTTAAAGTATAACACATTAACATAATTCATCTATAATTTGCAAACTAATGTGCATCATCTTCATTCTTAAAAATAAGGACCAAAATACTCTTCCTCCACTCCTCTGATATCTTATAACTTTTTAAAATAATATTAAACAGTTTAGTAAGCCAAGAAACTCCCAAATCTCCTAGATATTTTACACTTCAATTGGGATATCATCAAATCCTAAGATTTTTCCACTACTAGTTTTTTTTTTAATCTTTTCAACTTTCTTTTTCCTAATGCGGAGGTAAAAATAAAAAATTTTATTATTATTAAGGATAATAAGATAATTAACGTCAATCATATTTTCAAAAACATCATTAAAAAGTTTATCAAAATAGCTAACCCACATATGTTGAATATCATCACCTAAGAAAAATATTTTTTGATTTTCATCTTTAATATACTTGAATTAAATTTTTATTTTTCTTCTCTTTGTTTGACTAGTTTATACATATATTTCTCACGTTCTTTAGTACTAATTTATTATAAAGATTATTAAAAACAGAATTTTTAGCATCACTAATTATTCTCTTAGACTCTCTACGGGTCACCTTATATTTTTTTTTAATTCTCTAAGCTTGTACATACACAATTTATCATATTTTACTTGGCTTGCACATTATATTCCACCACCAACTATTTTTATTTAATTAAACTTTTCATTTTGATTCTTCAAGTACATCTTTTGTCATTTATTTAATATTATTTATTATTTTATCCCACATAAAATTAGCTTCTTCATAAACATACTAAATCTTTAAATCTTGATGTTTACTTAAAAAAATGATTTTAAATTTAACTTTTAGGTGCACTAACTAATTCTATGACAATATTTCATTGTATTCTTTATCTTACAACTCTTTATTTCAAAGTCTAGAATTAATAATCAATGTTGAATACTTCAATTTTCACTTGAAATGACTTTAAATATTTACATTCTCGACGATCTTTTTTTCTCAAAGAAAATAATCATTTTATATTTTATTAGATCAATTCTTATAAGTAATAATACGCTCATCTCTTTTCTTAAAAAAAAGTCTTAGCAATAACAAAAGCATAAGTTAAAGCAAAATTTATGAATTTACTTCTTCATTAATCACTTCAAAATTGTAGCCACCATGAATATTTCTAAAATCTTGCCAATCTACCAACAGTTCCATTTAAATTTCCTCTGATAAAAATTCTTTCATCAAGAGGTATCATTTTTATTAATTCTTATAGGTTATTAAAAATTTCTTTCAAACCTATATTTAAACCTACTTGAGGAGCATAAGCACTTATAATAGTAAAAATCTTAACATCAACAATAATTTTTAAGGCTATAATTCTATTTCCAATTTTATTAATTTTAACAATATTATCTTTCAAGCTCTTATCTATAATTAATCTACACCGTTTCTAGTATGAATCCTATCCGAAAATCCAAGTTTAGAACCTAAGCTTTCAATCTCCATAACATTTTCTCCAAGCCATTTAGTTTATTGAATGTATACGATATTTATCTTCCTATGAACCAAAATATCTACTAATTCTATTAATTTACCTGTAAGAGTATCAATATTCCAAGTTTTTATCCTAATATTAGTTTCATGGACTAACTTTTTTGTCTGCATCCATCCATAATGTGGGAACCCCTGCTTATTTTACACTAAACCCGGACGTCGGTATAGCGTACTTAGGTCATACAGTGCATCGCTTCCAGAGGATGCCCTAGCATTTACACAATGATTTACAGAATTTATTTCATGATTTTTCAACAAAAATTTTACAATGATTTTCGGCTGCCTAACGTAACCCTCTACTTTTCGCATCTTTGGCTTGGGACCCAACAATGGCATTGTTATATAACATGTGATATGTCTTAAGGGATTGATCATATTGTTCAGTGACATTGTGACTGTGTTAAAGAAGTAATAGAGGAATTGACGTTTGTATTTTCTACGTCATAAGATCCTGAAATAGACAATGATCGAAAAACAGAGAAAGGAAAGAAACATTTTGCTCTCCCTCAGGGCAATTATGGAAAGATGGGCCAGATTGATCAAGTTCGATAAAGTTCCATATTTGTATCAAAAGATGGTCATCACCTCTCATCTACTCGAAGCAAGTACAATCGGTCTAAATTGGGGGACTCTCAGTAAGGTTTTTCACTTGAGAGATATTTCTTAAGTAGAGTCTCGTCGTTTTATTTCAATTAAAATAATTGATGTCATTTAACTTTCTATCTGTAGTTTTAGCCACTGCTGAGACGAAACTTGTCGCAATGTGTTTTTTCTTTCACGGCCATAATTATCACCAATTATTCAAGGAGAAAGAATCTCGATGAAGTCAAACTTCAGGTTCAACAAAATTCTGAGCTTGACCGTGCTAGAATGGCCCAAGCGTATAACAAGTTAGTTCAGCCTAGAACCTTTCAAGCTGGAGACCTTGTTCTTGTTTTTCGGCGGCCCATCATGGCACATCACCGTAAAGGCAGCAAGTTTGAGCCAACTTGGGAAGGCCCTTTTGCAGTTGAACAAGCTTACGAAGGAGGATCATAACAGCTTGTTGACTCCGAAGGAGGCCATCCCATCCGTAGTAGGAGTCTCTTTTCAAGATAGTTATCTACTTATCTTATCTTTGTTAAGACTGTAATATTTGAAAATCACCCAACCTTTCTTTGTTGTACTTTGGCCATCCTAACGCCTTCTGCTTACCCATTTTCAAGACTTCTACTTGAAAACCGACTTTCGAAAGACTTGAGATTTTCTCGTGTGACAATACGAAAAAACTGAATTGATGAGATGACTGCCGACTGTCAGAGATGAACAACACCAAGTTGTAGGAGACAAATAACTCGACAGGGGTTCAAAGTTTGTTGAAAATAAAACATACACAATTAAGCTAATAAAGTCCACAAAACCAAACAGCATGAAGGTGAATCTAGAAAAATCAGGTCATATGATGAACTCAGGCCAACTGCACAGACTTGTCGAACGAAGAAGTTGATTGGCGAAATGGCGCAGTCAAACGTGCATACAATGAGCCCGCTAGATCATCCTACAAAGAATCAAAGTTGGACGACGCAGATTCAAACACACAAAGGAGGTCAACAAGACTGACGAGTGATCCAGTTGAAGCACTCAACAGCGTCGATCAACGCAAACAAACAAAGGATGCAAACCAGCATTTCAATCGAAGGAGGACAATGAAACATACCCTAATTATGTCAAAGCCGAGCCTAGAGCTCTGATACCATGTGAAGGGAGCTTCAATTTCTATTATTCCTAAATCGAAAGCATATGATACATATTTATATACACACATATCTCTATAGATTATGAATATTTATAATATAAAGAGATACTATAATCAGATCTCTTCTAATTAGGTTACCTAATATCAAGCTCCTAACATACAACAATTAAATTTAATATTTTCCATAACATAGGTTAATATTCAAGTCATGCAAAATTACCTTTATTTAAAAAAAATGTTTGTCCGTATGAAAGATTGCTAAATATAACTCAAGTGGGTTTACCAATTCACAAAAGGAAACTTTATGAAAATTAATCAATATATACTTTAGTTTTTCTTCATATTTCCCCACTTTTGAAAATTTTAATAGAATCATTATTAGAAAGCATATAAATATTTTTATTATTACACTTGCATGCATAATATCCAATTGCATTATACATTCTTCCCATGCATGATTTGCATGAAATATTTTATGGAAAGCTTTCTATTAACTAAAAAAAAAAAGTTTACTGAAGATGCTAACACAATGTGGAATTCAAGCGAAGAAAAAATAATGGTTCATCTAAATTCTGAAAGACTTGTTACAAAAGCCACAGGAAATTTAACTAATAGAAAAATAGTATTGTAGAAATTTATAAAATGAATTCAGGGAAACGTTTCCTGATTGAAAATCCAGAAAAAAAATGTTATTAATCGGGTTTAAAATGCATGCAATCTGCACTTTTCAAGAAACATCAAACAATGCCTATAAATTTCTCTTTTTTTAATTTATTTTCTCCTTTTGATTCCGCATCCAATCAACCACAAGTCCAATACATTCCTACTAATATTATTCCTGAGGTTATCATTAGTAATGATGAATATCAAATGTATACAGGTGGAAAGACAGGTCTGCAAGTAATGATTTATTAATATTTCTTTAGGAAGATTGAAAAAAATTAGCTCCCAAAACAGAAAACAAAATGAAAAGAATGTAATAAATATAACCACAAATTAAATATTTCCTGAAAAAGGTTTAAGAAAATATATTAAAACTATGATAATCCAATACACTAAATATAAATTGCATTCTCAAGTGCAAGTAGAAAAAAAAAGGGAACAAATGAAAAAACAATGTTAGAATATCAGTTAATTTTATAGTACCCTTTTTTGTTTTTATTTTTTTGATGGTGAATGATAAATCGCAAAGTGTGTTTCAAACGTTTAGCAAGACAAACAAATTTCTCCAACAGTGGGCTGCAGATCCTTTCATAGTTCACAGAACGCTGACTAAGAAAAGGCACTAATGTCTTGCTTTTTAAAATGAATCACACTAGGAAGTTATAAAATGCTTATGCTGTGCCTCACAGCAACTAAGTACATAGAACATCATTGCATCAATAGGTGTGGTTCTTTAGCAAAGCAAAACCTCATTATCACATGTCATGTTACAATTTAAAGATATTATTTCTAATGCAAACCAACAATGATACAAGCATCAAACAATATGAAAAAATTGTGATACTTGGCGTAACATTAACAGATAAATATTTAAAGTTCTAAAAGCCGTATAATTTTTTGAAATTTTCCCTCGTGCAAACATCTTAAAAAGCTAATTGTTTAACTCATCATGTATATCAAAAATGATATAAGATTCAAATACCTCCTTCCAATTAGAAACATATGAGCCAAACCTTCTTGCATCAAAAGAACAGCCAGGTCAGCACTTGCAGCAGGATCTGCAATGCAGTTCCATGATATCAAATTACTATTTCAATGCCTAGATAAGATAATGAGGGGCTTTATAATTTTCAATAAATATAGTAAAAAGAAATAATATAGTAAAAAGAAATATGAGAGAGAGAGAGAGACAGACAGAGAGAGAGAGACAGACAGAGAGAGACTCCAGGACTACAATCCAACCAACAAATAAAATGTGCATTTCGCTTCCCATTGGACATTGATCTCAGAGGATTTAATATTGAAATCAAAATTGTACGTCCTGACCCAGAACATTGTAATGACAGGGACCAAAACTTATGAAACAGTATAAATATTTTAGGGGATTCAAGGATGGGAATGAGCTTAATATTTATTCATTCTTTTTAATTTTGATCATTTTCAAATTAAAAGTCGGAACATAAAAACTGTTTTTAATCAAAATTTAGGTAAAGAGCAATGCCAGTAGGAGGCACAATATTGTGACCTATCAAAACCATTCTTAAATGCATATTTGAAATAAAATAAACAAGTTTGTTGGAGGCTTCAACAAATTTCTGTCATATATGGCTTCATATAAGAAATCAAGTTCGTATGTCCGGATTTGTACTTTTAGAGCTTTAAGAACAAATTTTCCATTGTCATAGAAAGAAATAAAGGTAAGAACAAGGTCTCCCTTAAGACCTTGAGTGCGCCAAAGCACACACAACAACGAAAGCCAACTTTGCAGTATTTCCATGCATAGCCTACCGCAAATACTTTGTAACTTTCAATATTAATCGGCGACAGTTTACCCCTTTGAATAATAGCAAAGCAATAATGTGTTGCTATCATTTATTATTTTAATATTAATTGTTGGTATCATATCCCTTGGAACAACAGTAAAGCGATAATGTGTTGTTATCGTTTACCTATTATTGTTAGAAATTATATGTTATGAGTTGCGGACAAAAATAAAAAACCTACACAACGATAATTGAGAGAATTTATAGGTTACAAAAAAAAGGAAAAAAAACTGCAATCAACATGAAAATTAAGAACATCAAGTAGCAATATTAGCAATGGAAATAATGGAAAATTTATTCTGAGAGCATATACCACAGGCTTGGTGAAGTATATCGAGTGAAAATGAATCCCATATATCCTGCAAGAATAAATCAGCAAATAAACTTTTGGTAACACATGTAATGCAGCAACACTTCATAAGACAGGAGAAAATCTTTCTATCTGTATCATGGGCAAAAAAACAAAATCGAATATATGGCTCTAAGTCCATCCTCGTTGGCATTAGAACCAAGAGATTTGAAGAATGAAAAGGACAAAACCAATAAATAGTTTATCAGTAGCCGTCGAGCTTCAACTGCAAATCGCAAAATGGTGTTATGGCCTGATAAGCGCTTAATCAGCACAGTCACTAACTTAAACAATAACAAAATGAAGTTCAACTATGTTTTGAAGACAACATTCCTCAATCCTACCCTCATGATCAAGTGACCAGACTTCCATTTAAAAAACTTCTCAGAAATGCTGGAAGCACAGTAAGTTTAAAAATTAAGAATCAAAAAGAGAAAATTGTCAAAATGGTCCCTCGACATTCAATAGAGGTTAATTAGGTCCCGCAGTCATGGAAGCTAAAAATAGTCATTTTTGGAACTATTTTAGCTCATATTAAAAGAGTCTGACAGCTAATTTGGCAATTTTATAGACTCTAGGACTAAAATGGCTCCATGTAAATAGTCAACCAACTGTTTTGGCGCTTGAATCTAAAACCATGTAATTTGAGATTCGAAGAATACACCAAGTTCAAAAAAAAAAAACATAGAACAAAGAGCACCAAATTCTAATTGATATGCAGCCACGTTATTAATATGGAGATGCATAATACGATGTATATATTGTAAAAGTGTTCTTTGGAAGGAAGACAAGAAATAAATTCAAGGGTTTCCAAGCATACCTTCCTTAGCACAAATGGCCTATGTAGTTCAACTTCAAGTGTATGAAATTGGCCTATCTGGATAAATTGAAAGTCAGAAGCAGTATTACTGTCCACCGTCAAAGATAAGATGAGACATAATTCCATCATGATGAAAACTGACCTTCACATGTTCATTCTGCAAGATGTTCTTGCCACGTATCCGCAAGATCGAACCCTCCTTATTGTAATCTACACTCTAAGAGATAACACAAAGAAACAAATCAAATCATTCAAATAGGCAATGCACAGCCTTTCAGAAACACTGCTTAGTTAGTGGCAGAAAGTTTGCATGCATAACGTAATAGCAAAATGCTGTTATGTATTTGTACCTCGCACTGTTGACGACTCTCATAACTCAGTTAACTTTTAAATTCCCTAAACACCCATTCTTTTTATATTAAGACCTACCTTAACATCTCACCTTCTTTCTTCAATCATATTAACGTAAAAGCAAAACGCTGTTATGTATTTGTACCACGCACTTTTGAGGACTCTCGTAACTCAGTTAACTTTTAAATTCCCTAAACACCCATTCTTTTTATATTAAGACCTACCATAACATCTCGCCTTCTTTCTTCAATCATATTTACCCAATCCCCAACCCCGGATATCAGTGACATATAAGGGGTAAACAAACCAATAAGAGCTAACATTCACTGAATATAATGTTTAACATTTTCAACAGAATTAGGTTAGTTATATACAATCTGATCTTCTATGAGCACAAAAAAAACATAGTCAACATCTAACTTATGATTCCTCCATTTTTTTTGGGAATCATAAGATGTGACCTAGTACAGTTAATGGCATAATGGAAAATGTCGAGAATTTATAGAGAATTTACAAAATCAGACCAATTCTTTTTTCAAAAAGAAGAGAGAATTTATAGACAATTTTTTTAGCGTCCATAAGTTATTTGCATAATGCCAAATGTCGAGCAACTTAAAGCCATTAATAGAGCTGCTGAGTTCCAGATAGCCAATGGCTAAACCAGGCTACACATGAAAAAGATAACAGGGTCAAAGTTCAAGGCAACCAGGCTGCAAATGCTCTGAAAATTCGTTAATAAATTAATACATTCATAGAAAAACCTGATGTCGAAGGACTGGGATGAAAGAAGAAGAAAAAGTTTAAGCAAAAGGAAGTAAGCTTACTCAGAACAATATAATTTTCTAATTAGAGAATTAATAGAGCAGTGAAAGACATCAAACAAAATATATTATAAATTTAGACAAGGACTAACAGCACGTAACTAACAGCAGGTATCAGAGACAAATGAAATGAAATAATTGTACTGGTGCTTCATACACGTTTGAAGCAGCTCATCAAAGATAAAAAATTTTGAGAGTAAAACAAAGATTTGAAAATTTTAAGAGAAAAATATGAGGTTGCAGCAAAGAGGGAACATATTTGGTTATAAAAAACATTACAGAAACGTTACATGCATACACTAAATTAGCGGAATAGGATATTGTAGTCATGGCAATAAAGACTGCTGCTCCAACTTCAAGAAACTAATGGAAATCATAAAAGATGGCCACAAATTTATAAGCTTAGAAACCTTATGAATATACCTCAACATTAATTTCCAGCTTTAACTTCACACGTTCAGAATCTCTTCCGCCGGATGCCAGCTCTCTGACAACTTTCCTATAACAAAAAGAAGATTATAAAATGTAATGATTCTCCAAATAAATTGGACAGATATTACTTGGTGTCATCTAGCCAAGTTTTCTCAAACTGATGGCCTCACAAAATTTAAGAAACTTCATTTTAAATAAATAAATAAAGCAAATTAAGGAAATAGTTGAGGTAGAACATTAAAACAAAATGCGATCCCCTTACTAGCAATAGCCTGAGAAGGAACTTAAGTCCTCAATCTTAACCCGCACTGCATAGAGGCTATTTTGTTTAATTCAAATATGTGACTTACAAATATCAATCCATGCAACTAAACCTGTGTGTGCTTTAAGCGGTATAAGTAAATGTGTGTGTACGTGTGTGTACACACACACACACACAGTGTACGAGATCAAATGAGAAGAACTTGGTCCAATCAAATGACCTAAGCGCTTAGTTCAATAGGCATTGTTTTCAATTATCGGGCATAGGATGCAATATTACCGTGATTGATTTCCATCAGTAAGTCCATAGAACATAAGATGTCAAGTTACAAATTTTATCATTGATGTATTATATAGTGTGCAAAAGACTACTTCAACATTATAATTTAAATTTTTCTGAATTATACAATATTAAACACACAAGAAATTACGATTGATTCAGAAAAAAACAATCCTTTATCTCAAGATAAAGAAATTGCGATTATTTAATTTACAGCCATCCATTATTATGGGATTAATAAAAAATGAGGAAAATATCATAAATCTTAATATTAACGTTGCAGAATTTTATTAGACGAAGAACAACTTTGGTGGTGCATGTTTTACACTACATTCCTATCACTAAGGCGTTATTTGATTTGTTGAAAATGAAATGCAATATAAAAGGTTTGCAGAGTGATATGATTACAAATATATTTGAAAAACTTTATAGTTATTTGATTCACAATAAAAAAATGTAGGATTTTTTTTTTCTTTTCATTTGAAGTTGATTGAAAATAATGTATTTCAAAATATATTTTTTTGTCCAGTGGGTGTCGGCAGAGGCAGAGACAGCGGCACAGGCGGGCGAGGACGAGTGGCGGTGGCTTACCTATAGCATTTCACATGAATGGTGTAATTTAAATTCAGTCAAATCGATCGAATTCAAAATTCAACCAAAATGAACAACGGTGTAAATCTCAATTTCATTTATACTTTATATTTATAATTTTTCATACCAAACACATAATTTTCTCAAATCACTACAAAAGAATTGCAGTACACTACAAATTCAGTCAACCAAACAGCCACTAAAAAATCTAGCACCAAATGCTATGTGAAAACTAACAAATGTCTATTAAAAGTAAGCATCAAGAAAAATTCAAATTTGATGAGAATATTTAGATGCGCGGAAAAAAAACCTAAATTATTATAACCCTTATCATATTGATGTTCCTGAAGAAATAAAGAATAACCATTTTGATACCATAGTTAACCACACAACAACGAGAAATGCAAATTTTATAACTTAAATCAAATGAGTACCAACAAATACATGAAAATAAAAAATAACAATAAGCACGACACATAAACTGAAACTAGGATTAGGTTTGGGGTTGGTGGTGATTAAATTTGGAGGTGGGAAGGGGTGGAGAGTGCTGGAATGAGTATATGGGGGTGCTGGTGTGAGGCAGCAGCACTACAAAGAGGGTGTTGGGTTGTGGTTTAGGGGAATGCAGCAATTATGGAGGGGATGGACTACAAAAAGGCGGCAAGTAGCCTGTCCTCAAGATGACGACAGCGAGGAGGGTTGGTGGCAAGTAACAGCAAATTACGGTGGAGAAGTGGTAAACGGTTGCAGGAAAACAGTAAAGTGGTTGTTTTTTTATGATTGCAGTAAATACTATGACAGTGGCGGCGGAGGAAAGATTGTGGAGGAGTGGGAAGGTCAAGAATAATCACCAACTTGGATGAGATACAATTGAAGCATCACTTATCGTCGAATACAACCCTAAAAAAAAACTGGACATTGACGGTTGTCCTAACAAAAAACGTGAAACATGGCCCTTAACACGACAAAGCAACATATATATAGTACTACATAACAAAAAAGGAGCCCACTCCTATTGGGCAGTAGCCCTAGACCACAAAGAGGGCTAGTAGAGCCCTCCTTTCTACCCTGTTGAACCAATTTAGTTGCCCAGATGGTCCAGCATTCAATTCATAGCAGAATGTCCACGTCCCGCACTGTAGCGAGAGACATGCGTCCTACAAAATAGTGAGAGACACCTCGCGTCAGTTTCTAGGGATTGGTGGAGTTTTGACCTCATTCATCGAAACTTTTTTCTGCCTACTGAAAGTGGTGGTATTGTTGTAACCTCCTGGGGTTGAAGGATCTTTGATGGCGGCCTTAGAAGCATTTGGATCTCATTGACGACTGCACTGCCCCTTGAAACACTGGAGGAGTTTTCCTCACTTGCGAGCATACAACCACATTAGTCAAGCTTCTGGGCATACACCTTTGAACTAACCTGGCAATTTATATCCTTTATTTTTTGTTAAATCCTCCAAAAATAGCCCAAGGTTGGCTCAACCTAATCTGAAATAGAGCAACTTAAATCTCCCTAAACGGCGATGGTCATAGTGGTAAGCTATCAAGCAAGTTGTCTTGAAACTCTCTCAACATTGGATACAGTGTCTGAAACCGGCTCTTTTGTCTCATTATCCTCTATCATCATCAAAATTGATCCCAGTGGTGTTTCTCTGCTAGTAAGGGCACTTGTAATCCCAGATTATGAATAACTTAGAAGGACTATGTGTTTGCCATCTTATGTGAAGGAGTAGGTGTTCATGAACCCATCATGCTAAGTCTAGCGATCAAACTGCCACGGCCTCCCCAACAAAATGTGGCAAGCATCTATGGGCACCACATCACAGCAAACCTGATCGTGTAGTTAATTCTCAATCGAAAACTCCACGAAACACCTCATTTCAAATATGACTCTATTTTTTTCCCTCAATCATGTCAAAGAGTATGGTTGGGAGTGTCTCTGAGTCGTGAGGCTCAACTTGTCTGTGAAAGCGTGCATACTGCATTAACAACGGGTGCAATATAGCGGGCATCAGCCTCCACACTAAAAAAAGCGGGGTCACAAGTGTGAGCATCCCAAATAAAAGGCCATTACAAAGCAAGCCTGGAGCAAAATGGGTTACTTTGTTGCAAAATCTATTAGCAAAAATGAAAAGAACATTTTGAAAGTTGTGTAAAAAAATGAGATCAGTACCACTGTCGAGTTATTGATCCCACTGAAAACTATCCATGCATTGGCGGAGCCAATCAATAGTTGTAGTGTTGTCTTGGCTTCAAGTATCCACAGTTTAATGAAAGAATTGAGAAGGAATATAGCATCCCATCACAAAGCCATCCCAATGCAGGAGCTATTGGCCAGCTGCAAAGATAAGATCCCCATTTTCATTCCATAACCCTCCAAGTGGTTAGGGATAAGGGTGCCATCAGTATCAGCTTTGATGGGGGGAAGGGCGGCAGGACCAATGAGAGGACGAAAAATAGCCCAACGGGCCGAGAAGTGCTTCATTGCTCCGGGATAGATTGAGCTTCCCCACTTAGGGAATAGAGGCAAGAATGGAGGCAGCAATAATAGTTGGAGCACCAAAGGTCTTGTTGTGCTTCTAGGTGTTATGAGCCCGCCTACTCTAACAAACAGTGTAGCGATATATTCTGCCTAACGGTAGGGATTGTTGTTGCATGCACATTAGCTCAGCATATGCCTCCCCCCATTTTAGCTTCGAGGATCGGCAACTCCCATTTTCGTAGGTTTCGAATGATGCTTCTCAAAAATTCACAATTAGCAACCACATGCGAGTAATCTTTGATTTCTCCACATCCCCAAGGGCAGCAGATGTCCTCTTCCAATCCACAGTCAAGAAGCCATTTGTTAAATGGAATCACATTTAGGAGTAATCTCCACCAAAACACATGTTCCCTAGGATACAATTTAAATTTTTTAATCCAGCACTTGTTTTAGATTTCATAAGCAAAGAGCTTGTCGTAAGTCACCTTCCAAGCAACAGAATCACTTATGTTATGTGTGCTTGCCCACGGGTTGTGACCATAAAGTTCAAAAATGCATTGGTTGGAAAGAAGATCGGGTGAGGTAAGATAGGACCCGATCAGCCGGGCCCGAAGAGGGTCTATCCATTGATCCGTGACAGAAGGCCCATACCCCCAACAAGTTTCGATCTGCACATTTTCTTCCAAGAAATGAAGTGAAGCCCCATCGATTCTCATCTTCAGTCCAGAGAAAGTTCAGGCAAAGTCGCTCAATTTCATTAAGGACAATCCGCAAGAGTTCCGTGTGAGTGAGAAGAAAAGTGGGCTTAGCAAACAACAAAGAATTCACAAGAGTAAACCAGCCCGCATGAGATGGGGGGGGGTGCACCAATGAGGGGACGAAATTAGCCCAAGGAGCCCAAAAGTGCTTCATTGCTCCGAAATAAATTGAGCTTCCAGCTAGGGAATAGAGGCGAGAATGGAGGCAGCAATAACAGTTGGAGCACCAAAGGTCTTGTTGTGCTTCTAGGCGTTACGGGCCCGCCTACGCTGGCAAATAGTGTAGTGATATATTCCGCCTAACGGTAGGGATTGTTGTTGCATGCGCATTAGCTCAGCATATGCCTCCCCCCATTTTAGCTTCGAGGATCGGCAACCCCCATTTTCGCAGGTTTATAATGATGCTTCTCAAAAATTCACAATTAGCAACCATATGCGAGTAATCTTCGATTTCTCCACATCCCCAAGGGCAGCAGATGTCCTCTTCCAATCCACGATCAAGAAGCCATTTGTTAAATGGAATCGTATTTAGGAGAAATCTCCACCATAGAGGTTAGACCAATATGCCAAAAGAAGATATCGCATTTGAGATCTTATAGAGCATTTTAAAAAAAACAGAATCAGGAAGTTTTCCTACCAAAGAGGATGACTGTAACAGCCTGATCTCTCATCCATCGAGAAACTGTCCGTTTTGGCTTAATAGCCTCACAATTTTTCTCATTGGTGTAACTTCCTAAGAAGTCACCCATTTAGGTAGTGCTCATGTGTGAGCACGCTTTACTTTTAAGTTTCTATCAAAACTCTAATTGTTACACCAAAAAGCAGCTCGATATATAAGAGTTCAAATTCATTCTACTTTAAGGGGTTTCACGATCTCCCCCACTTAAGTAATTCACATCCTTGTTAATCTCTAAACTCATAAACATTCACCAAACAAATAGGATTTTAGAAGTAGCCCCTACAGATTCAAGAGATGACTCCCACCATGTAGCATGTGGTTTCAAGAGAGGGCTGCCATGGCATAGCACATTGTTTAGTATGACACTTAGCTCCCATCTTCAGATTGGTGTAATGCTTAGATAACATTTGTAACAGCATGAACTCTCACCCATCAAGATAATGTCCATTTTGGCCTTGTAGCCTCACAATTTTGTCGCTTTAGTTTAACTTCCCAAGAGGTCATCCATCCTGAGAGTGCTCGAGCACGAACACGCTTAACTTCGGGGTTTCTGCCAAAACTTCAACTGTTACACCAAAACATGCCTCAATGTTTAAGAGTTCTACTTAAGGGGTTTCACAATTAGGGGATCATCAAGCAGTTGGATCCTCATTGGAGTAGGCCATCAAGATTATCATCTTGGAGGAGTCAGCAAGAGAGGTCGAGATAGAGATGGTCTCACCAAATCAAGGAATAGCTAAAAGAAGAACTTTAAATGAATGGCATGGAAGAGCATGGATGGATAGCCTTGCAACCCAATAAGTGCTTAGAAAAGAGAGAAAGTTCTCAAAAGAAAATCAAGTTCTAGCATGCAAATTAAATTCTTGGAATGAGATTGATTTCTTAAAGTAGGCCCATTTTTTGAGCTCTCGAGTGAAAAAGCCAAAAAAATAAAGCCTTAATGACCCCAACTTGAAGAATTATGCGACAAAGGATCAACTCTTTCAAAGATCTCCCTATTCTCAAGTAGTGACACATTGCTAGTCAGCAGATACAACTGTTTGTAGGGTAATCTGTGAGGTGTTAATTTCAGTTGAACCTAAAAAATGTTGAGTGTCAACCAAAAATGTATTTTTAGGCATAGGCAATCTATATATCTAGAAAATAGTCAATTGAGGAGTTAATCAGAGTAGAGTCATTCGATTCAACTAATTTCAGGAAGTTAATATGGGTGATGGCTGACTCTAAAACCCAAAAGTTAGATTAATTGTATGGCACATATACACTCCATATTGGATGCCAACAAAATGGTATTTATAGTGAATTAAGTTCTTTTGAATTTTGGTATCCATGAAGGACAATCAAATCAAGAATCGTACTTTCTAGTGTAAATCTCAAATTTTAGAGTAAAATTAATTGTGTTGTATTTGGGATTTAGATTGGGATTTAGAGAGTTTAGGAAAAGAATGCAGCTAAGATTGTTTGTGATTTAGGTGATGGCTTAACAATCCCGTTTTCTCAAAATCGATATTCAAGTGTGATAGGTAAGAACTTCAGATACTCCACCTTAGAATTGAAAGCTTGGGATAGTAAGATTGATTCTCAAAAAGAGTTGCATCCATGGAGTCACAAAAAAATTTCATAATTAGTGAGTTGCATTCTAATTTCTTAATTTGAAGAACACCCAAAAAAATGCATTTGAGACATTCAAAGTCAAACTTGCTCGGGTATTATTAATTTGAGTGAATAAAAAAAGTACAGTTGAATGTTTTAATTGAAATAATGGGAAAAATCCAAATGCTAGGATATAAAGCAATAAGGGTTTGGCATGAAGTTTTGAGGTTCAAGAATCTAGGCATCCTCCTGATGACGTATATTGTGGCAAAGACGACTTCTCCCAAAAAAATAATTTGAAATGCGAGTACAAAACATATGGGATCCAAAAACTTCCAATATATTACATATTGTCTTTCAACAACTCCATTTTATTGAGGAGTGTTAATACAATAGTTTTAAAGCACTATCCCTTAACTTAAAAGGTATGATCCAATAATTGAATGGTAATACTCTCTCGTTGCCTGTCTTGAGGCATGTATGCATATTGGCTTGAAATTGGGTTTGAGCCATGTTGTTGAAGCGCTGGAATATTAGCACGCTTCTACCTTTTCTTTGGTAAGAACTAACCATGTAACTCTAGTGGGATCACCAAGAAAGATGCTAAAGCATCAAGAAATTGTCATGTTCTTGATTCTAAAAGGTCCCCAAATATCATTGGGTATCACAAAAAAAAGGCAAGATGATTTTTGTGGTTGATTTTGGAAGGTATTGCAAACACTTTCAGACAATTGACAAATGTAGCACTATAATGATTTTAAATTTTCATTGACAAATGAGGAGACTAGTTTTCAAACCTTTTTTTTTTAATGATAAGATTGTCATGCAATGAGATGTACTTCTGAAATACATAGGCATCTCCAATTATATGATCTGATACACCTGAGTAAACAAGACGGGAACTTGAATTTGCCAATTTTCTTAAGACCCTTAAATATTTATCTTTTTCTAAAATAATACAAACAACTTAAGGAAAGGCAGTACTCCATTATGATTGTTGGAAACATTTTTTGTTAATGCCCTAATTGTCCTTGTTGAAGGACTTTACTCTATTGAATTAGCAGCAAGGTTAACATGATTATCATACGTAATAAAAGGCAAGCTGGTCAATTGGCTTTTCATGTATTTTCAACAAGAAAACTTTGAGTTTTCAGGTTTTTGGCAGTGTTCACACCATGGTCAACCTTTATCAGCCGATTGTTGTAGTTGAATTAAGGTCCTTAGGGAACCAAAGCAAAACCTTTAATGGTTCAAATGATGTATTGAGATCCCAACGTCACTTTCTTCATGTTCTCTTCTCTTCAAACTTCTAATATGGCCTTTAATGGTTCAAGTGATGTATTGAGATCCCAACATCACTTTCTTCATGTTCTCTTCTCTTCAAACTTCTAATATGGCTTCTTGGAGGCTTCAAAGTGTCTTATTGCAAGGGATTCATTAGCATGCTTCAACAAGTTCATAAGTAAGGCCAAATAAGAACTTATAGATCTAGTCTTCTTCAACAACTTTCTTGCATTATTCTTTGTCCAAATGACAATCATAATCCAATTCTTCAAGGATATCTATTGTGAAGTTATCGTCCATTTTCAGTAAGAACATAAAGATATTCAATTTCAAAGAGTTCAACTTGCCTTGGACTATGGAGCATTGGCTTGATCACAAAGCTTATTTCATATTTTCTTTATAGGAGTATGTTTCCTTCATTTTCTCCCATATATTTTTAGCAATCGTCTTGTATACATTTTTTTCTCCAATCTTGTTGGTCATAGAGTAGATCAAACAGAATATTAACATATTATTCTCTAATTTCAATACTATGAATCATAAAATATTAGAGTAGAGTAGAGTAGCCGCAGCCATGCCAGTGAGGCAATCTTATTTCCTTTTCATGTTTAAACATTAAAAATGATTGAGACCACTAGATATAGTTTTGTTGGTTGAGTTTTAGCATGTAATTGAAAGGATAAAGACTTTGGTTCCCTTCAGCTTGTTAATTATGTTTTCTCTGGGATTGAATATGGCTTCTAATGTTGAACTACCCTTCAGTTGGCCATGTCAAGTTTCTTTATCTCTGCCATTTATTAACAAGGTCCATCGCTCTGAACCCATGTGAAGTTTGAAGAGAAACTATAATTTTATTATATTTCTCTATTTAACAATGAATACAGCAATGGCTGAATAAACTCAGCCGCTCAACCTGAAATACAATCAAAACTTACCTAAAATGGGTAACCTTAAACATGAAGTACAAATAAAAAAGAAGAATTAGAACAGCTGCCCAAGTCTCACCATATTTGAAATATAAAGCCTTTAAACAATGACAGATAGTTTCAGTTACTTCCTAAAGAAAATAGAGGTTAAATTTCCAAAGCGATCATAACAAAATTATAGCCAAAGCAATAAGAAACATTCTTCAAACACACAAGGACTGCAAAAAACCCAGAGGTTGCCATAATAGAAACTGAACAAAGCAAAGAAGTATGGACAAAGTGTTGTGAGAATAGCAATTAAAGTGGCAAGAGATATTTAAGGACTATACCTAACTGTGACAGCTTGAACTAGGTCTCCTGCAGAGATGAGGTTGTAGGCGTGCCACATGTCATCTTCCTCCTCCGGGATTATCTGCAAACAGTCAGAATCTCACAAAAATTTACATTTATCAAAAAAGAAAGAGGAAGACGAGGTTCCTACTTCCGTTGTGTACCTTGATGCTTCCCGGACCGTTTGGTTCGATGTCGCGGCGAACAAGTTTCATGGCTAGGAGTTGTTTATATAAAGTAAGCCGAAAGAGCGAGAAAGCCGGGCTGTTCCTCCCTAAACAGAGGAAAAACAGTCGACCTCGTGAAGGTGCAAGCCGAAAGGGGTTGTTTGGTCGGATGATTTGCGCAGTTTTCAAGGCATATATAACTTAAATCCCACAAATATATTAAGATTTACATGCATGCCCCTCAATTGTTTTTCTTCTTTTTTTTTTTTCTTTTTTTTTCTTTTTTCTTTTTTTTTTTTTTTTTTTTTTTGTAAATATGAGAGTCATCACGAAACTTTATTAAGAATAAAGCAAATTATTGTAACACAAATAACAAAAAAACAACTCTTGCTCAACAGTAAGCTCGAAAGAAAAACATAATAGCTAAAAATCAAATTATAAAAAATAAATACAACATTACACTCAGAAATAAATGCAGTTGAAGAACAATCAACAATCAACTTAAATCCTCTAAGTAGAGCATAATTTGTAGCAGAATGAACAATCAAAGTTGATACTGGCCAGACCAACTTCAATCAATGTAGATAAGTGAATGTAAAAAATGAATGTCTGAACTTCAAACAGAGCAACTAAATGTGACGAAAGAAGCAATCATCTATGAATTTGTTTAGCCTATAATAAAAGTATAATCAGTTGTTTCAAGCAAATAACCATAAGAGGGAGGCAACTTCCTTAGAGTGGAAATATCAACATCACATAACCACAAAGAGCAATGTCCAAAAACCTATCAATAGAGAAGTAAAGCAATCTCAAACTTCCAAGGCATTCATAAGAGGCTTGCAATTTCCTTGAAGTGGGAAAACAAGATTCCAGAATCACAAAGAGCAATGTCTATGAACATCTCAACAAAGAAGTAAAGCAATCATAAGCAACAACAAATACCAAAGACAAATAGCACAACAAATAATCAACAATCAGCTAAAAGATAATTCTTCAATACAAATAAAAACCAAACCCATAGAACTAAACACCATCTCTAAATGAAGAATTCTAAATATTAAATAGTTAAAAAGACTTGGAAAAATAATATGGTCAACTAAGCCAAAAGAAAATAGACGGCCTCAGAAAACCTACCTACAAATCCATTAAAATTTCATCCATCTCTAAAAAAAGAAACCTAAATAATATACAGTTACAAAGCCAAGAAAAGATAGCAAGGCCATCAAAGCTAAATGGAAAAAAAAAACTAAAAAATCTACCTACAAATTCATTAAAATTTCATCCATTTACAAATGATATCTTAAAACCAAATTAAAAATATTCAAAATACAATTGAATTTTAATGCATTGTTAGAATTCATCATAGCAAAATAAAACCAAACTCAAATAATATATCAAAAGCATGTCTATTATTATTAACTAAGATCAAGAAAAATATATGTCAATTCAAAATAATACAGAAGATTAAAAACAATAAAACTTCAAAATTGCTAAAACCAAAATCAACCCACATAAAAAATCAAGAGAAAAACAAAAAAATTAGAAGTTGTAGAAATCTCTAATATTATCAAGTGTTGAATCCTAAATTGTCTTTGGGAATGAACCCTAAGAGTTAGAGTGGGTAAGTGTGTGTGTGTGTGTGAGAGAGAGAGAGAGAGAGGAGTTAGGAGAGAATTGTCAGGTGTTAAAACCCCAAGTGTCAGGATGTAAAAGTGGCAGAATCCAAAATCTCTTTATTGATGTCATGACCTCCTATTTATAGAGGTCGGTGAATACAAGTACATGCAAATAAAGAACAGTTTTCATAATTGTCTCAAACAATTTAATTCAAATTACATAGTAATGAGTAATAAACAATGGTGCCTAGTCAATCGCTCCATGCCTTAAGGTTGACCTCGTCAGTCGCCTGTCTTGTATGTGTATCGATCGGCTATGATGGTCGGTCCTATCTTATTCTTAAAGATTTTTGGTCTCTACAACAGGATGTATGGATCTTCGCTAGTGGTCTTATAACTAGTGAATATGTTAGTCGACAGATTCTACCGAACAAAAAATTCAGTCAGTCGGCACACTATGTCGATCAGCCAGACTATAGAGTCGGTCGACTATTTGCTAATGAGTTTTTTATTCTGTTGTCCAGAACCTCACTTGTGTGTCTGTGTGGTTGACCGTCTCTATGAGATGCATGCTGGTATATTTGTAGTATACATCAAGAATTTCTTTAACAATTTTCTACTTTTGTAAATGATGATCCAAAGAATATAATGAATGAGCATCTACAAATAGAAGAAATCATTCCTAAAAGTCCTCATATTTTCCTTAAACCAAATATAATAAGCTATGATTTGCATAAGTAAAAGATGAAATATTTTTTGATTTTTTTAAAGAAAAGTTATCGATTTGTTGTAAAACTTAAAAAATATTGGTAGGAGCAATAATAAAATTACCATTATGTACACATTTATTAATAAAAGAGCGGAAGAAAAAACAATAAAAAATAGTTGATCATGACAATCCAAGTCATTACCACATAAAACATAGGTATTAATCACATTAAACCCTCTATGAGGAAGAATATCACAAGTTTGTAAGCTTTTATAAATAATTTTCCAAGTGTGAAAGAATTATAAACCAATCAACACAAGGGAAAGAATCATAAAAAGAGAAATAAAGTCTAGTGAAATATATATTACTAATTCTAAAGATAAATGATAATGTACCTCAAGTAATAGAAATATTATGAATATTATTTATATAATAATATAGAGCATTACTGAATATAGAATCAAGTAAAAATAAAGTCACCAAAATGCTCTTTTAAAGAGAATCTGTTAAACCAATGATCATAAAAGAAAGATAACCGACTAGTATTTGTAACATTAAACTTTAAATATATTTTTATTTTGTAAACCATTTTGACAATATATTTCCAAAAGGTAATAGAAGAAGAATGAGAAATAATCAAAATAGAGTCATAATGATTAAAAAAATAGCTTGAGAGGTAAAAATTAATATTATAAAATTTCTAAAAAAATTTATATATACACATAAAATTCATATTATCCAGGGAAGGGATGTCGAGACCACCATTGTGCCAGGCATAGAAATTTTATTCCGAGTAATAGTATGAAATCATTTATTATTATCACCATGAAAAAGAAAATTATAAATCATAAAAGTAACATTTTCTCAAACTTTTAGAAAAAATCATGAAATGAAACTAGTAATATAAGTAGCTCCAAATATTAAACTTAATAAGTTTCTATCTGCGAGCACTTGATAAAATTTTATGCATCCAACCTACAAACTACATATAGAATTTATCAATAGGAGTATAAAAATGAATTGTAATAAGCTTAGAGGGCTTAATAGTGACCACGAGGCAGTCCGAAGAAAAAGCTTTTGAAGCAAAACCACAAATGCTACAAATTCTATGTTGAGTAGATATGTCTACAGATTCAGAGAAAGCAATAATAAATTTACAAATATTACCATAAAGATTAGTATCACTGCTAAAATTAGGATTAGGAGCTTTTGTGATTCCATTTCGAATCAAATATTGAATTTAACTAATTTTTTTCTAGCTTAAAAGCCAAACATCGGAATCATCATAATCCTACATTTGCGCAGGTGATGTTGTACTCATGACTAGAGGGACAAAATCTACTACTTGGCATAGAGGATGGAAAGTCTAAATATTTTTATGTTCCCTACGCCGCGAAGTTTTCTCCATGGAATTCCTTCGTATCATGCAAATGAAGACGGCCGCCCATCGCTTTGCACGGTGCCCGCTTCATTTTGTCATTTACCATAAGGTTCACCCGTGAGATCGCTATGACGAGCTTACCTTCATCGTTGAAATCAATCAGATCTCATTATTGTTTGCATGCATTTGTATTACATGTCTTCCATAACTTTTTAAATTTCCATTAAAAATATTGTTTATGTGCATGTCTCTGTTGTCTTGTCTGATCAGCTCGATCGACATCTATCATCGTCTTGGCCAATCACCACCACCAATCTGATTGTCCCGAAAGACCCATCTTCATCGATTTGTTGCCCCAATCTTGTCAATTGCTCCCCATCGATAGACCGCCTACTTCTATTTGATTAACCACTTCCATCATCTCAACCGATCGGCTACCTCTGACCCATACGTCTTGACCGACCCATCATAGTCAATCAGCCTCCTGATACACAAAAATAATATACTGTTTTAAGTACCATTTTTATGTCTATTTTTTATGATATTGCACTTTTTAAAAAAATATTTTTGTGTTTTTTTGCAAGTATACCATTTTTAGACATTTGGAGCAAAAAATGAAAAGATGAGCAAAAGTTGGAGTAAAAATAGTCAATTTTGGGGTTTGGCGCATGATGTGCCAAAATTCATAGCACTGGCGCATGATGCGTCAGGTGTGACTTTTTCAAATTAAAGTAGTTTGAGACAAATTTTGCATGAATTTTCAAAAGGAAAATTGTTCTAAACACCCCATGGAGTGATTCAATGCATCTAGACACTTTGGAAGGTTCTAACTTGAAGGGATTTGACTCTTAGATCAAAGAGGCACATCTTTTGAATTCAAAGGTCTAACTTTTGAATTTTGGAGGGAAATTGAAAATCTTTTCAAAGGAGGCAGCCCAAAATAAAATAGAGTTAGAGAAGAACTTCTAGAGGGGGGGGGGAAAGAAAAATAGATGTGGCGTGAGAACCAAGAGGGAGAGATAGAGAGAGAAAGTCAAGGGCTTGGAGATTGTCTTCTAGGGTTGTAAGAGGAGAGGGAAGGTGAGAGATTTCTTCTTCATTACACTTCTAAGAGAGAATTAAGAGTGCTTGTAAAGAGAGAAAGACTTGGAGAGAACTTCTAAGGATTTGCTTGAAAAAGATTGTGAGATAAGTTGTATTTTTCATTTTTTTTGTTTGTAAACTTGTTTTTATATATGAAGTTTGTGTTTTATCGTATCATTCTCTTGAATTTTAAGTAGTCTTCTTTATCTTTCTTCCTACTTTGAAGAAATGATTTTGCGAAGAATTGATTTTGTTTTCTACGGTTGTAAATGTCGATAATTTGTGATGATTTGAACTCCGATCTTCATTTACTTTTCAACCTGGCTAATTGAATTATTAAAATGTGTTGAGAAACATATGTTCTAAAAAGAGGA